GACGGGAGCAGCAGCATCCGCGAGTTGAGCGGACAAGAAAGCGCGTGGCCGCCGGCAGCCGAGCAGGCGTCTGGCGGCGGCAGCCGCAGCGACAGCGGCGCCGCCCCCGCCGGCGCGGCCGCGGAGGGCCCGGACGCAGCTGCCGCGCAGCCGCTGCCCATGTGGCCGGTGGTCACCGAGCGCGACGTGTATGACGTCATCCACGAGGCCACGGGAATTCCCACCGAGCACCTGGGCGAGAACGCCGCCTGCCAGCTGGCGTCCCTGGCCACCCAGCTGTCAGAGGAAGTCCTCGGGCAGCCCGAGGCGGTCGCCGCCGCCGCCGCCGCGCTGCAGGTCGCGCGGCTCGGGCTGCAGCCGGAGGCGTCCTCCGCCGCCGCCGGCCGCCCCGCGGCGAGCCTGCTGCTGGTCGGGCCGGACGGCGTGGGCAAGTCGACGCTTGCGCGGGCGGTGGGCGGCGCGCTGCTGCCGTCGGAGCCGGCGGCGCGGCTGGCGCTGGCGATGGGGGACTACTCCGAACGCCACAGCACCGCGCGGCTGGTCGGGGCGCCGCCGGGGTGGGTTTGGGGGCAGCCCACTGGTTCCTCCAGGCCATGGGCGTGGGGTGTCTAGAGTGGGCCCAGAATTGCTGGGTGCCAAACCCATGGGATGTGCGGCTGGGATGGGGGGACGTACGCTGCTATCACGAACGGCTTTGTGCTGCGCTGTACACACCAATTCAGCAACCGTAGTTCCCGCCTGATACCGCTCAGACCGCATCCAGCTGTCGCCCCCGCCAACTGGGCAGAGCCTCTCCACGATGCAAAGTTGTGTGCGTTCCCAACCCCCCACCCTCCCCTGCGTCAGGTACGTCGGCTACAGCCGCGGCGGCCTGCTAACAGAGGCCCTCAGAAGGCGGCCACACAGCGTGGTGCGCGCGCGCGCGCGCGCGCGCACGGGCAATGCGTCAAGCCCCCGCGCCCGCGGCGCCCAGCCCCGCCCCCACGACGCCCGCCCCACGTTGTCGCCTCTCCCAGCTGGTGGAAGCGGCGGCCGCCCCCGCTTGATCGGCAGTGCAGGCCCTCCCCAGACAACCGCAGCCGGGCGGCCCAGCCGGAAGCGCCATGCACCGCCCTTCGCTCGGACTCACCCACTCTGCCCGCTCCGACCGAACAGGGCCCACATTTCGCTGACCTGGGCCCATCCCAACCGCCCGCAGCACGCCGGCGCGCTCGCCCTCTTTCTTACCCTCTACCCTGCATGCTCTGCCCCCTTATCCTCCGCCCTTCCAAATTGGCTGCCCCCAGGTGGTGTTTGATGACTGCGAGCGCGCGCACCCCGAGGTGCTGGGCGTGCTGATGCAGGGCCTGGAGGAGGGGCGGCTCATGGACGGGTCGGGCCACTCGGTCAGCACGCGCTCCGCAGTCTTCATATTCACCGCCACCACCGCCCCAGGCGGCGGCGGCGCTGGCGTCGCCGGCCCGGCCGCGGCGGCCACCATTCGCGCCAGCGGCGAGGCGGCGGCGCCGAGTTTGAGGCATGTTGGGCTGGGCGGGGGCGGCGCAGGCGGCGGTGGCGGCGGCGGCGGCAACGGCGCGGGTGCCGGGGCTCGCAAGGGATTTTCAAGCATCGGCGTCGCATCGGAGGGGCTGGAGTTCGGAGATGAGCCCGCCGGCCCCGCCGTTCAGCGGCAGCGGCAGCAGCAGCAGCAGCAGGCGGCAGGTTCCGGGCAGCTGCCGCCGGCCGTCCGCGAGGTCGCCGCGCGTGTGGATGACGTCATTGCGCTGCGCCAGCTGGCGCGCGCCGACCTGGCGTCCGTCCTGGACCGCCAGCTGGCGCAGGCGGCAGCGGCGGCGGCGGCGCGCCACGGGGTCGAGCTGCGCGTCGACGCGGCGGCGAGGACTGCGCTGGTGGACGAGGCGTTGCGGCAGGGGCGCGGCGCGCGGCCGCTTGCGGGTCTGGTCAGGAAGCGCGTGCTGGGGCCGTTGGCGGAGGCGCTGCTGGCCGGCGGCGCGGCCGGCGGCGGGGGCGGGGCGGCGGCGGCGGCGGCGGAGGCGCCCGGGGCGCGGGTGGCGGTGGTGGAGGCCGCAGAGGGCGCCGCGGCGCCGCGGCTGGTGCTGCGGCTGCTGGCCGCGCCGGCTTAATTGCTTGCAGCTTGCTATGCACGGGTCAACTAATCATCTGTCACGGGTTGCTGAAAGATGGTATGTGTCATTTGCTTATCCGTGCCATGCATGATTCATCATTTCGGTATCTACGGTTTGATTGGTTACTTGGGTGCGCATGGTCCCACCCAGGCAGCGACACAAAAAAATACGACTGGCAAGCATCAAAAAAATGCACAGTCATGGCCACAAAAGAAGCCATCGGCGAGGCCGACGCATACGACCAAAGGCAGGCATGCCGGCAGCATAGCGATTTAAAACCAGCCGGGAAGCCCGGGAGCCAGCAAGGCAGCTGGTGGCACCCACGGCTGTCAGGCGCGTCGCGTGGCCGTGATGCTTGGCCGCACCCGTGCCCCAAACTGATGATGTGTCACCCTGAGCTCGCCGCGCCGGCAGGCCCAGTTCACGCCGCAGCCACAACTGCAAGCGCCGCTCGAACCCGCTGGCTCAGGCGCGCGCGCCGGCCTCGGCGGCCAGCCGCCTCTGCTGCTGCGCCGCCACGCGCTTCGCCCACGCCTGCTGGTAGCGGCTGATCGGCGCGAACACGCCACCCGCGGGCGCCGCCTCGGCGGCGGCCCGCTGCTGCGCCAGCCGCTGCTTGGGGGCGCCGGGGGCGCGGCCGGCGCGGGCTGCGCCCTCCTGAGGCAGCTCGCAGGGCAGCGCGGCGGCCGTGGATTGGAACACCTGCGCACGATTTGTGGGATGCCGGGGGCGCGATGAGCGAGGGCGGCTGTGGGTCACGATGAGGAGCAAGCCACTCCTGATCGAAGATACAGGGTTGTGTCTAGCGCGGCAACGACATGTCACCCGCTGCGCGCTCGAGTGACTCAAACCCTCAACCCGTCGCGAGATCGGTGGAGGGGCCCGCCGTCAGCTCAACACTCCCACAATCCCGGGGTCTCCTTTGCCCCAAAGAAAGCCCCAGTACTGACAAAAGGTGGAAATCAAGACGCTGCCCGGCAAGCAAGATGTACCAGGCCATAAACACGGCATCACTTTGCCAACTAATTTCCCACTACCCGCCCAGCGCGACCCTTCCCTCC